TCAATCAAAACAATGGCAAACCTACATGAATTGAACTTCGAATTTCTCCCACATCAACCGTATTCTCCAGATTTGGTTCCCAGTGACTACTGGCTGTTCGCAGACCTCAAAAAAGTGCTCACCGGTAAGAAATTTCGCTCGAATGAAGAGGTTATCGCTAAAACTGAGGCCTATTTTGAGACAAAAGATAAATCCTTCTACAAAAGTGGTATTAAAATGTTAGAGCAGCGCTGGAATGATTGTGTTGCTCTTGATGGAGTTTATATTGATGAATAAAGTCAATTTTGATCGAAAAAAAAGCGTGTTTTCTTTGTTAGGCCCGGGACTTTTCAGCCCATGTGTTACAATATATATATATAAAACTAGACTTGTTGAGATTTCGATGTAAATTATATTCTTTTAGAAATATTGATATCATCAACATTTTTACTCCGCACATGGACACTCATTTTCAATATAATATCCTGGTAAAGGATAACTCATCTGATAGATTGTATCTGTAATCATTGGATCTTTAGGAACTTGATACGTAGTTCGACGTGCCCATGGTATATCCATTTTAGGAATTGGTGTCCAAGCTTGATATGATAATTTATTTATCGTCTCAGAATCTATCTTAGCGATAGGTCTACAAAATAACAAATGAGATAATTTTAAATGTTAATTAATTATCGATTAATATTAAAGTTATTAAAATACCTGCAATAATGTGTATCAGGTTTAAAACTTTTCGCACGTTCCAATTGACCAGGATGTATAAACGATAAACCAGTTGTTGTCTTATCAACAATAGGATCTTTAGGAATACGAATATTAGTACATGGAATAATCATTTTTGTAGGTACACCCATTTTGGGTGTAAAATCAATACGATTTGTAGTTTCACTTTGCATTGAACCTTCTATCTTTTTTCTACTATGTGGTATGATTGGAGAACGTTTTTTACACCACACAGGTTGATAACTCAACTATAACATATTAGTAGTTTTTTTTTTTTTTGTATTATATACAATAAGAAAGTTTTTATTTATGATTTTTGTCTTCCTTTTTATATTTATTAATTATATTTTATTAAAATTTCTTACCTTGTTTGTTGTGTCAGTAGATATTTTTTCACTTGATATAAAAATATTAGACGGAGGAACGATTTTCTTTGCTTTTTCTATATCACAAGGTAAATAACTTTCTTTATAAATAGTTTTATCAAAAAATTCTGCTTTAATAGGTAATATATTTGTTACGCATGGAATAAATGGTTTCATCTTTTTGTATACTTCATTTTCCAAATAACTGTCGGAATAAATAGTCTTCCCACACATTGCAACGCTTGGAGACCTTACAGGAAAAAGTAATATATTATGGGATACGTGAACAAAATTAGACCGCTGGACTGACTGGACCGAGGACTCGAACCACGGATGATCTTTCGCTTTCCGGGCGACTGCTCTTTTAACTAATTGAGCTATCCAAGGTCCACCGATCAATCCTTCTCACGAATGCCCGATAAGTTTGGGCATGGAGGCGTTCGTCCCACATTCCACCACCCCCCTGAATAACATTCGACCCCGAATGTTCTCACAAATACTCTCACAAAGATTAAGACTGTGGAACGTGTTACGAAACAGACCCTCCATTCCGGACGAGCCCCCATGTGTGGGATTCGTGAAAAAAGCTGGACCGCTAGACTGACTGGACCGGGGATTCAAACCACGGATCTTTCGCTTTCCGGGTGACTGCTCTTTTAACCAATTGAGCTATCCAGGACCCACCGATCAATCCTTCTCACGAATCCCCGATAAGTTTGGCATAGAGGCGCTCGTCCCACAATATTTTTGTATCCTTCCTAAATACAATAATATAAGTATATACATACTTATATGTAGCTTTCTGTGCCCATGGAAACTTTTCTTTTTTACCAACAGCAAATGGTTGATAACTTAATTTTTGAGTAGTATCCTTAGAAACTGAATGACTAGGTCGTTGATATTTTGTTATGGGTTTAAAGCTAGTAACAGGTTGTACTACGCCAGGATTTACATAAGAAAGTGCTGATGTTGTATTAGCATCTAATGGACTTCCACTTATTCTTATACTTCCACAAGGTATTATCATATCTAATTTTTCTGTATATTTTGGAATATAATCGCATTTAGTTGTAGTGGCACTTTCAAATGTTCCAGTACGACCCAACACAGATCTACAATTGAAATAATATTTATGTCATTTAATTGAAATCAAATCTTTTCAACGTCAATTCAAAATAAACTAATACAAAAACCTAAACTTAGGTTTAATTGGTTTTCTTGTAGCCAAACGCCAAATAGGTTGATAACTCATTTTACTTGTTGTTTCACTTGCAAACTTTTCATCCGATTTAAGAAGAGTTTGAATTGGACGATATGGTTGAGCTCGAATAGATTGTGCTGTTCTTGGATCCAAATTTATATATGAAAGATCATATGTTGTATAAGCATCGAGTGGTTTTGATGGAGGTCTGTAGCATTGTTCAGGAGCAAATGATTTAACTCTTGGTGGTTGTACATATCTTCGCATACTCTAAATGAGAAATTACATATTTAAATTTCATTATATTTAAGATCATATACTAATTTGTTTAACCCTTTGCACTTCGCACGATTCTCGACGTTGAAGTAGCAGCTACTCCGCGCCACAGAAATGGCACATTTACAGACCGTCGTATTATTTAGTATAACTTTGGAACCAAGTAACGGATTCTAATGATATTGGACTTATATTAATCTGTAAACATCAAAGAACATATTTACCTAAAGAACTTTTACCAAAAGAACTTATTTATCAAGAGAATGTATGTGTGTAATAGCGTTGCAATTGAAAAAAAAGGGCGACCGCGTTACATTGTATTTGAAATGTGACACTATTTGATAATATTTCTTTGTACATTATAAATCTCATTATAAAATGCGAGATATGCTTCTATAAAAACATTTCTTCTACAAATTCTTCTTATCGCTTTTCTCAAGTTTCGTCAAAAAGTTCTCGGATCCGTCGTAAACACGCGTCTCGCATTCTCTTAGAACACAAAACCTGCTGACAATTTTTATTATATATCTTTGTTATTTGACTATATTTTGATTAGATGTCTTGTGCTATTTTAAGAGAAAACATCAGGGAAACATGCATGTGTCAAAAAGTTGTGCTGAAATAACTTAATTCCTCGTAATAACTAATAAACTTTAATGTCTCATACGTTGAGACATCAAAGTGATAGGCTAGAATCAAAATGTCTCATACGGTGAGACAGCAGAGTGCAAAGGGTTAATTTGTTTACAATTCCCTTTGAAATAAATGATTAATATAAATAAATCTAATTGAAGAAATATGATTATTATATTTTTATAGAAAAAAAACTTTACTTTATTATGGCCCAATTGTAAATTTTCCTTGGATGAGGCTACACAATGTTTCCTTTCAGTACAAACTTCTACTACCTCCATTTTATCAATGGATTTGATTATAATTAAATGTAATCAAATATATTATATAACTTTATATCAAATATATTCTTTAAATGTAAAATCTTGTATCTATATATATATATATATATATATGTATAAAGAATATAAAAATGTAATTAAAATAACCAAAGGTGGGTATATATAAATGTCATATTATATGACATTTAAAAAATTTGGATTAAAGGATTAAATGTCATGTTAAGTGTTTTTTTTTTTTTTTTTTTTTTAAATGGATTTTAAATATCCAAGATTGACCAATTAAATTTAATGATGATGATTAACACACAAATAAAAACGAAAAAAATATAAAATTGTCAGCATATATTTTGAAGTATATAATAAGCAGCATATTATAGCTGATTATTTTTTATATACAAAACAATTGAACTTATTGACTCATCTTATTTTTTTTTTTTTTTTACATAATTTCTGCACAATCAATTTATTTAATATACATGAGCATAAAAAAACTCATTGCAAAAAGTGAGCCATACTTTTTCTTTATTTTAATTTATAATTGTTCAATAAACAGTAAATTAATTAATTAATTAATTAATAAATAAAGAAGGAATCTCTGATATTATTTATTTTATATAGTATCATATATAAATTGTATGATATATTTACAGCTAATAATATAGAGTGACTTTAACTAGCAAAAGTAACTTTTTCTTTTTTTTTTTTTCTTCTTTCTTTTTTAAATAAACAAACTATTTGTTCTAAAGGGAAGAAAAGAGAAACATGTACAAGATAATTCTTAATTTTTACAGATAATGATGATGATGATGATGATAATAATAATAAATATCTCAGAAAAAAAATATAAAAGGCGTGAGATAACAATATAGTTTTTTCTTTTTTTTCTTTCTATTTTTAATATTACATTTAAAAATGTTTGTTCATTATAATATCAACTGTGATTTTAATTTCACTTTCATCACAGTTAAAATAATAATTTGTTTATTCTCGCAATAATTAAATATATGCACACAAAGGCACATGACACAGACACAAACATGTATCAGTGCACTTTGTAATTAAGTGATTGGCACAAATTACACTATATATAACATGTATTTGCCAATAATGCATGTTTATGTATTCATGTATGAGCAGTTTCTCTTTTTAAATTGTAGAAATGTATTATCATTTTTGTTGTTGTTATTGTTATTGTTATAAATACATATTAAACGATATATCCTATCATCCAATTGTACTCATTATGACTCTGTTTTATTTTCGTATAATGTGTCTATTTAAAAAAAAACGAAAAAAAAAAAATTCTTCTCAATATGAATATATTTTATACTGTTTATAATATTTGTATACGAATGCTAGTTATGCCTTAATTAAAATGAGATATTATAAATAGAAGAGATAGATTAAACGTAAGAAGTAAGTATTAATCAATTAATTTTCAAAAATAAAATTATTTAGGAAAATTCAATTCTTATGATGACAAAAGATGAAATAATCTGAATAAAGAAATAATTCAAGCTTTTACAACAGTGCACCATAGGAGTTCCTTTCTTTTTTTTTTTTTTCTTTTAGTTGGTACTGCTATTAACACTGAATTAAGCACTTTTTATATAAATGCTTAACACCAAGAGAAAAAGGGACTCTTATTTTGGAAGCGCTGCGTGAATGTATCAGAAAATAAGAACAAACTTCGTGTGCCATTTCCCTTGGCTCTGAAAAAAAGTTCATATTAATATTATTATTTATAATATTATTAATGTTTAAAATAAATATGATACTATACTTTTCAACTATAACAGCAGGCATTTGAACTAACTGCACTGGACTTTTTGCATCTTTCAATGCCTGTTGTAAATTTAATATTTGTCCTCGCATTACGCTCATTTGCCTGTCAAAGTGATGTCTGTCGAATCCTTTATCTTGCTGTACCAATAATATAATAATAATAATAATAAATTGATAAAGTAAGCAAATTTATACAGTATAATAAATTAAAAAGAAAAAAACAAACAAACAAATCAAATAAAACTCTATCTATAAACTCACTTTGAATAATTGATACAAATCATCGCAAAGATCTTGTACAAAATTTTGATCAGAAAGCTGTGGCAATACCAATGCGCGTGTATCTTCGCTGAATGGTTGTTTTGCTTGACTCAACCATGCCCAATGATAAGGATAAGCACGCCAAGAATCAGGATGTTTAAATGGAAATGCCAGACCATTATCTATAGCTGCTATTTTAACTTCCCCACGTTCTAATCCATTTTTTTCTGCCCCATTGTCATACTTAATAAGCCAATTATCATTACCTACAAAAAGGAAAAAACATTTATTATTTTATTTACACAACGTTAGGAAAATTAATATTAACACTTTCGCTACGGCAGTGTCTTCCGTAGGAGCGTCACCGCTGTACGGGCCCGCGTGCCGCCGAAGTAGCGCCACTGAACGGACCACTGCGCCGAAAAATGTGCACATCGCGCTTACGTGGTTGACGTCGTCTATAGACGACGCTCGTACACACAGGACATCGCGCGGATGTCGTCTATAGACGACGCTCGTACACACAGGACATCGCGCAGATGTCGTCTATAGACGACGCTCGTAGCGAAAGGGTTAATAATAATATTATTATATATAGGCCATAGGAATTTACCTCTATCTGTATTTCTGATAATATAATCTAAAATAACCAAACGTTCAAATTGATGCTGAAATTTAAGACTCAAGTGTGGCGGTAAAGGTTCATGTTCCCATCTTCTTAGCCAATAATCTGCATCTTTATAAGCATCTACAAATACTTGGAAGGATCCAACTTTAGGTGGTAAACTAATACGATTGAAATGCGAACCAACTGTAGGAAACTGATCCATTATCGCTTGTTTCATACGTGCTTTTTGACGATCTAAACGTGGATAGTTAAAAGTTTTACTGACAAGTTTAACTACTCTAGTATTCGGCACAATGCCAAGGCCTAATTTGCGGTCAACTAAACTGGCTCCAGCCTCGCTTAAATATCCTTGATTTGGTATCAAACAACTTCTTCCAAAACAACACGGACAACAAAGTTTGTGCATCCATTTCGTCCATTTTGGATTTAATCTTCCATAAGGTTCTTCATCTTTTGGTTTGAAAACACCTATTATCTTCTGTAATAATATATATAATATAACAATATTACAAATTGATCTTGTATATATATATTATATACAGACAAATTATCATTAACAAACATTCGCAAAACAAATGTATGTATATATTACCTTATTATTTAGTAATATTACGACATCTTTATATAATTAAATATATATATATATATATATATATATATATTATTATAAAAAAAAAAATCTGAAAAATTATACCTTACCCCTGCTGAATTCTTTACAAAATAACTTCCACTTGAACCTTGATATATTCTTTCAGGAAATATTCCATTGTCTATCGCACATTCTGCTTGCCATACTAATTCTGAAAATTGTGGATCATCTACAAGGAAAAAACAAAATCATGAATCACGTTTATTAAATTCTTCCATATCTACTATGTATACTGTTATCTAATAATTATATTAATTATTATAAAAAAGAAAGAGAGAGAACGTACCAGGGAATCGATTAAAGGTAACATCAAGTTCCAAACGACCAAGGAGAGGCTGGCTCTCCCGGTCTATTCCGGTTGAATCAATGGCTATAGTTTGATCGCTACTTATGTTTGGAACAAATTCTACGTCTGGTAGTAGTTCTGTAGATAAATTGCGTGATACACAACTATTGGATGTTACTGACAGATCAACTAATGCGTCAGTTTCAATCAAAGCAGGAGGATTGGTATTGTTCTGACTGTGATATTCTCGATAAGGCACGTGCAGTTGCCGCTGTTCGGAGTCACTCATCACAGCCGTATCTTCTTAGGATTGGAAATTTATTCAAATGCTAATTCAATAATGATATAATTGAAAAAAAAAACACCAATTTTATGTATTTAACTGCATTCCTGCACCACCACCTGTCAGTGACGCAGGTTACAAAATCTGTTCCCTTTAATTTCTGTCAACATTGGATATTATTATTATTTAGATTTATTTTTACGTCATGGGGAAACACAATCATTCAATATTTTTCTACAAGTGTGAATCATAGAAAAATAATCATCACTAAATGTAATACTTGCACTAAAACGACTGGTCTAAACAGACCAGTTATAACCAAATTGTAATCCGTCATTCCAGCAGACGGTATCAGCTGATAGGATTACCGCCATATTTAAATTTATACTATCTTTCTAACTACGATCCTGTATAGTTCTTTATATAATCTCTTCACGTATTAATCAATTTTTTTTTTTTTTTACAAACAGTTTAATATTTAATATTTATATATATTTCGGATAACAGACAATCTATTATGAAGATTATCAAGAAGTATTATTCATACGATTGATAAATAATGTGTACCGGATATTACGTAAACAATTGCGCGGATCAACCATGTTCGATAAAATAACTAATCATTAGAATCGCAATAAAAAGAAACATGAAAATGTTTTATATAAAGTTACTTATTGCGTCATGATATCTATAAGATTATATCCTTTTTTTTTTGGAATCATATTACCATATAAACTGTAAACAACATCGATATAAATAACAAAACATGAATTCATGCAATTAATTATACGAACCTACTTGTTTACATGTAATTCGATTATCGATTATTCCATTGACATATTATACGATTATTTTTTTTTTTTTATAAATACTTTTTTTTCTATTTTATTTTATCTATTTATATAATGTATATTTATTTATATATATATATATATATATATATATATATATATATTTTTGTAATTAAAACTAATAGAATATTTAGAAATGAAATGTTAATAATCTGTTTACAATTGACCAATAAATTATCTAATATGCGTTCATAGTTGTGACGTCATTAATTGGCGGTATTTTTAAATGTCGCCATTATTAAAAAATATTTATAAAATATATGTATATATATGTAAAGTGTTTTTTTTATTTATAGGATTACAATGAAAAAGATGTTTTATGATGGCAACACGATGATCGTTTAATTTTCTATTTGTTTTTGAACGAAAATCAATATGAAATGTATACTTAGCAAAGTATGCACTTGAAAATATTCTGATAAGTATATTTATGGCGATTGGAGCCGCTTCATAGCGGTCTGTCATTATTGTAGGAGTGGTATTTTTATAAACGTATGTATTGTTTTCATAAAAGAAAATCACATTCGAAAATTAATCATTTATTTGTCCACACGTCAAATATTTTATTTATAATATTATATACTATATTTTTTCCCTAGAAAAATCAAATATACAAATAGTTAAGACAGAAATAATATTTCAAGTTATGTTTGTAAGTATACACCTTTTAATTTATATATATTTACTGTAATTTGATTTATTTTATTATTTATGTATATTTAATTAAATTACATTTCTATTAATGTGTAATTTATATAAATATAACCTCTAAGAGATTTGTATGTATTATATAAAAGTGAGGTTATAAATGGTATTACATGTGCATCAATTTGACAAGAGATATACAAGTTGCATTTGTCAAGATTAGATTACTGATTGTTTGTATTATTATTATTTTTTTTTTTTTAATGCAACTTATTCTTTACTATTTATACTATAATTTGTATAAAGTATTTAATATCGGTATTTTTTTTTATTAATAAACAATAATTGTTTCTTAGATAAGAGGTATGATCAAAGAAGAATAAATCATCATGACAATGGCAATGCGTAAACGGAGTGGTTCTGGTTCTAAACGTCAACACAAAGGAAAGCTTGTACCTATTTATGAAAGTTTTTTTAAAGGAGAGGATTTAACTTTGGCACATCCTAATTTTTGGAATGAATTATTTCTTATTAAACCTATGGTATAAGTAATTTAATATAAAAAAAAAACAAATATAAAATTAACAATACTTATCAAATTACAAACTATCATAATAAATTAATCTTAATAATTATTTGTTTATAGGTTCCTCACATAGAAAGTGAAATTCTTCATATGACGTTAGAACAATTGAATGCAAGCAGAGAAAATTTAAATGCTTTAGTATGTCATTGCGTAGATACATTAGTTGATGAACATCCATTTAGAGTAGTATATGCGTTACAAACTTTAGCAGCTGTTATTCAATCTATGTATAAAAAGGCTAGTCAGGGAGATTGCGGATTTAATTTAATAGACATCCTTGTAGGTTTTAATTCCGCTGAACAAAGAATGACCACATTAATGCAACATTGTAATAATTTTTTAACAGGTAATTTCAATGAATTACTTATATATTTAGATATATATTAATAATTGTTTCTATCTATTTTATAATAATACTCTTTAGGTGAATATCCTGATAGTTTAAAAGCATTGTGTTTAAAATTATTACTCATTATTGTTACCGGAATGGATAACGTAAGCCAGAATACATTACTGGAATATGTGATGCTTAATAGTGTTTTCGAGTCTTTAGTTCAAGTAAGTGTGTTGATACACAAGAGTTACATGTTTGCATCTATTACTGTCCTTTAAAGTAATCACCAGCGTTCTGTAAAACCCGTTAGCAGAGCCTGTTCTGTTAATGGTGTGATGGTACAAGCGGTTTACTGCCTGTCTAATCTCTGGAACCAAAACTGAAACGCCAATCCAATGAATAACGTCATTATGGGTCGCCGCAAAAGTTGAAAGTGCGTCAGAGCCCCAGTACGGTGAAAGTTATGGTGATTCCACCATTTCCATTTCATGGTATTCGTTTCAGAACTGTTCCAGAGATTCGACAGGTAGTAGACCATTCCATTTTCACCATCAACAGAACAGGCTCTGCTAATGGGTTCTACACAACGCTGGTGACTACTTTGAAGGACAGTAACAAGACAGCCACTATTTAAGTTCCAACTTTCGTATAATTATATTTTTATTAAGTATCACCAATCATATTTGTTCTAGTTATTGAGAGATACAGGTGCTAGAAATCGTCATGGTCATGATGCAGTTCTATTGTTAACACTTTTAGTTAATTATAGAAAGCATGAAAGTACAAATCCTTATATTGTTAAATTATCAATTCTTGATGATGAGTTAGCGCTTAATGGATACGGACAAGTAATATCCAGTTCATTGACTGAGTTTTGTAGACAATTTGCTCAACAAAGAACAGGTAATATATATATATATATATAGAACTTAATTTTATTCAATTTAGATATATATATATATATATATATATATAAAATTATTTTCTTATAAAATAATGAATTTGTAGAAATACAAGCGTCATGGTTATCATCATTAACGAGTATTGTTGGTAGTATGTTTGTTGGAGAAGAGGAAGCTAAAACGCAACAAGTTCGTGCAAATAATGCATTATTATTAGCTTTATACGAGGCGACACATTTAAATCGTAATTTTGTAACTACATTGGCATATACACAAAGTGATACGAGTGCTCCACCTTCGCCAAATAATACTCTTGGTCCTAATGCCGTAGCTCCTGGTGCTCAACCACCAGATGTTATGGCACAGCCATTTAATTTACTTGCTACATTTTTACAATATTGGTAATGTATCATCTCCCAGTAAAAAAAAAAAAAAAAAGAAAACAAAGCATCAATTTATTTAATATGAGTTTAATATCTTTGAACAATTTTGTATCATTTCAGTTCTATAGTTATGCAGGTCATAAGAACAGAGGCAATAATGAATAATGTTAAATTATGTTTCCTAATATTAAGCTGTATTGCGGAAGATCAATATGCAAATAGTTTGATGCATGATGCTAATTTAGCATTTAGAGTACAGTTACACAGAGTACCAATGCATCATAGAAAGTTACAGGATAAAATAGCACCTGCACAACCTCTTGCAGCTACATTGCTCGGTACAATTATTATCTTATCGTTATAGTCATGTATTTTATGAAAAATATTTTATTTATTTAATATATCATTTAATTTTTTTTTTCTTTCTTTTCAGATTTATTAGTCGAATTTATAACATCGCACATGATGAAGAAATTTCCTCTTGAATTATATCACCAATGTATCGGTGTATTGCAAAGACTTTTGTGTTATCAAAAAAGATGCAGAGTCAGACTTGGATATCAATGGAGAGATCTTTGGACTGCCTTAATTAATCTTTTGAAATTTCTTACTACTCATGAGAGTCATCTGATTAAAAAAATGAATATTTTTCCATTAGCTATTCAGGTAAAGTGACCCAATGAAAGAAGCTTTCTAAAAATTATAATATACTATTGGCTTTCATAGGTTGCTAATATTTTGAACTTTTTCATTACATATGGAGATACATTTTTATCTTCGTCGAGTAGTTACGATGAATTATTTTATGAAATTATACGAATGAAACTTATTTTTACTAATTTAAATGCTATGGGTAAATATATATTTTTTTATTTATTTTTATAAAGGTCCTGTCATAAATAACTTCCGTCTTTTTTTTTTTTTTTTGAGACAAAGAATTGCGTTTCTGCGACTGATAAGTGCAAGACACTTTTCATGGATGTTTTTATATGTATTCTAAGCTACATTTATACTGTATTTTTATAGATATATGTATATATATATATATATATTTGTTTGTCCGCAATGGACTCCTAAGCTACTGAACCGATTTTAATAAAATTTTACACATTGTGTGCAGTTTCATCCAACTTGAAAGATAGGATAGTTTATCTTATCTTAATATATATAAATTACGTGTCACGTTGTTTGTCCGCAATTGACTCTTAAACTACTGAACCGATTTTAATAAAATTTTGCACACTGTGTGCAGTTTCATCCAACTTGAAAGATAGGATAGTTTATATCTCAATTTATAATCGCAATATTATTTTATTGCGAATTATTTGTTTATTAACAAAGAGTCGTTAACCCCGCGTGGCGGGGAACCCCTAGTAATAGGTAAATACGAAAAATAGATTCTACATAACCGCATCGGAAGTTACTTATGACTCGATTCAATATTATAAATGAACAAAATAATTAGTTATATTATAAATATAATCATATTATTTTATATATTACAGCATTAAGATATTCAACTAGTGAATCATATGAATATAAAGAACATGCACTTAAATTAACTAATTCATTAGTTAATATGAGAGATATTGTTAATCATTTTTCACCAAAAATAACTGCATGGTTAACAAGCGAAAGCCTATCTACTCCATCCGAACAACAAATTATGTCTATTATAATACAAAATTATGATAGTCTTACTTTAAAATTACGAGATAATTTGGATCAGTACGAAAGATATTCGGAAAAACCTAATCATACAGCTTTTTTCGAAGATATGGTAAATATATAATATATACATTTAAAATGAATAATATTAATAATTAAATTAATTAATTAATCAAACGTACAAATTTTACAGGTAACAGGTGTTGTCATTGACACTCGAGGATCAATTGATCTCAGTACATTAGATACACAGGCTATATTACAAGAATTATCAAATATTTCGTAACAGGTTGAATGTACATGGTTAATTCTCTATATATATATATATATTTTTTTTTTCTTGTGTATTATTTTAATATTATGTATGTATTATAATGTACTTTTTAAATATTTACTTGTATACTTGTATATTAACATGTGATTGATATTCTGGATTTGAAATATAATATATATATATATGTACACATATATATATATATATATAATGATCACAATTGGTATTATTAAATGCACTTATAAATATGATTTAAATAATACAAACAAACACAGTTTGTRTATATATATATATTTAAAATTGATGACTTTTTTTGGCAAGTATAGCAAGTCCAGCTTTAGATTGATTCTTTCTATCTAATTCATTACAAATATAATTACCTATTTCTACTATTTTATTTACATTTACTCCAGTTTCTAAGCCTTGTTGGTGTAAAAGATACAACAAATCCTCAGTCGCAACGTTTCCTGAAGCACCAGCAGCATACGGACATCCTCCAAGCCCAGCAATGGAAGAATCAAATACTCTAATACCATTTTCAAGACCAACATATATATTTGCTATTGCTTGACCATAAGTATCGTGACAATGTAAAGCAAATTTAGACATATCATCATTGGACGATATCATCTGTAACTCTTTCAAAAGTTTTTTAATATATTTGGGTGTTCCTACACCAATTGTATCTCCTAAAGATATTTCATAACATCCAAGATCTAACATTAATGAAGATAAGTTAACTACAACTTTGGGTTCAATGTATCCTTCATATGGACAACCAACTATACAAGAAACATAACCTCGAACTTTTACATTATGTTCTTTAGCTTGTTTGATCACTGCTGTAAAATTTGTTACACTTTCTGCTATAGTACAATTAATGTTTTTCTTTGTAAATGTTTCTGACGCTGCTCCAAAAATTGCTATTTCCTTAACACCTACTTTCAATGCATTGTCTAATCCTTTCAAATTTGGCACTAGTACTGGATACGATACATCAGGATTCTTTTTTATTTGTTTATATAATTCAACATTATCTGCCATTTGTGGTATCCACTTTGGTGATACAAAACTTGTCGTTTCAATTGTACGCAAACCTGTTTCAGATAATTTATTTATTAATTGAATTTTTGTATTAGTTGATACAATCTTTGATTCATTTTGTAATCCATCTCTTGGGCCTACTTCAACAATTTTAACAAAATCTGAATACTTTCTAACATTATTAATCTTAATATTATCTTTAATATGAATCTTCAATTTTGATAATCGTAAACTTAACTTGATCATTTTATCTGTAAAAGAAAAAAAAAACATTATTCAAAACTAATAAATTTCAAAATATATATTATATATTAAAAAGTACACTTACATATAAAGAATACTTTGTGTTAATAGAAAAAATATATTTAAAAGAATAACACGTTTTAAATATATTATTAATAAACGTTTGTATACATCAAATCTTTCAAAAGAATGTAATGATATTACATTAAATTGTGAATCTTATTATCTTATAAGATTCTCCCGCATAACCTAAAAATAAGGTTAGATTGGGTCAAAGTTATAATGTAGATAAGTAGACTGATATTATACGTTTCTGTACTTTTGTTTTTCTTTTAAATATAATTGTTATTGTAAAGATAATTCGCATCTCTAGATAAAATAAATAAATAAATGATGACAGTGGGAAGAAAAAGATGTCAGAAAATAAAGATAATATTAATTAAACAATTAAAGCAAACAAATAAAAATAGATAGATATATTTCTACATATTTTCATAACTAATAAATCATAATTTATTAACTTATTTAATATTTTTTTTTGACTGTAAACAATGTTTAACTGAATGGCTGTTTAAGGTAGGATATAATAATTGCATTTAACTTTTTATTATAAATTTACTTTGGTTTTTTTTTCTTCTTCTTCTTCTTCTTTTTATATTGTAAAGACTTGAAAAATGTCAAACATACAAAGCCAATATGATCACTATACATATTTAGTAAATATAGTATGCATAAAATATTATCTATGGTGTAAGACGTTTAGGATCACGAGGAAACATGGAAGTTTTTCGGATATTATCCAGACCAAGATACAACATCACGACACGTTCTAAACCAATACCACCACCGGCATGAGGAGGACATCCATATCGAAATGCATCGATGTATGATTTTATTTTCTCAATATCTGCAATACAAAATATTCATTATATTAATTTACAATATTATTTACAATATAATATATAATTTATAAATGTGGTAGGAAAGAAGAAGTTCTGGTCATTGGTATATGCGGACGATATGGTGTTGGTAGCAAATGAGGAAAAGGATATGAGGGCATTGATGAAGAGACTGGAAAGATACTTGAATAAAAAGAGAGTCAAGCTGAAAGTGGAAGGGGCAAGAAATAGAAACAGTAAAAGAGTTCATGTACTTGGGGATTTGTTTCCAAAGAAACGGAGATCTGACGAGGCACGTGAGGGAGAGGACGAAGAAAGCGAATGTTGTAATTAAACAAGTATGGGGGATTTTTTTTTTTTTCCTTAAGGTTTGTTTACCCGGGCGCTCAGTCTCTGGACCATTGTACCCGGGCCCCTTGCGGGGAAAAACCTGTCCCGCGGGCAGCCTCGACTCCCTTGCAAAGCGCAGGAGTCTGGCCGCCCCTGAGCCCACTAGGTCGAAGTTGTTGGCGGTGGTCCCAAGGACATCATTTCTGACGTCCGCGAGCCCAACGCATTGAGTTATGAGATGGAGGGGGGTATCCTCTCCTTCGCCGCACCTGCCGCAGACCGAGTCTTGTGCAAGGCCCAGTCGCGTAAGGTGCTTTCTAAGGTGCCAGTGTCCGGTGACCAATCCTACAACCAGCCTCAATTGGGCTCGGTCCAGGTTGATCAACTCGGTACCTAGCTCCTAAGTATGGGGGATAGGGAAGAGGAAATTCAAGGACGACTTCAATAGGAAAATGATGATGTTTGATTACCTAGTTAGAGGAGTTATGCTATACGGAGCGGAGCTTTTCAGCTGGGCAGAAAGGGCAGAGCTAGAGAGGATTCAGCTAAAGTATATACGTTGGTATCTGAGACTAGAACGTTGTACTCCAGGGTACATCATTCTAGAGGAAACAAAGAGAGATAAAATAAGGATAGAAGCAGGACAGAGAGTGCTAAGGTTCGAGGACGGGGTTAGGAAGGCAAGGGGTAGGACATTGAAGACGAAGGACAGCAAAGAAAGGGATGGATTAAGTCAAGCAGGTTTAGAGAGATGAAGGCAGTAGGAGGAAAATGTAAGTGCAATTATAAATGTAAGACTGAAGGAAAGGGACAGAGAAACACAGGGCCAACTGCAAACCAACAAGATAGATGAAGCGAGGTACAACAGGAAATATAAAAGGATAAGATTGGCCGCAAAACCAGAATACCTCAGCAGGTGTGAGAGAGGAGAAAGCCAGAGATTAATAGCGAGGGCTAGATGTGGAAACCTAGAAGAGTTCAATAAGTATTGGCTAGATAAGCGTGAGAGGAGATGTGGACTATGTGGCGTTAGAAACTGGGACACTGAGGCACCTGATGGAAGGCTGCACGAAGCTTGAGAAAACAGACCTGAAGGAAGAAGAAATTTTAGAGGGGAAAATGAACGAAAAAGTGGAGGGATGGTTGAGATATGTGGAGAAACAAAGGAGGATTTGCAGAGAACATAACAAAGGGAGAAGAAACGAGACAGGCCTAGGGATAATGCAAGCAGGAGAATCAATAAGGAATGAGTGGGATGGATGAATGAAGAGGAGTTGTGGACCAAGTCACACCACATGGCTGTAAAGTTGGGTTAAATAAAGATTATCTATCTTATAATATATAATTTATAAATAGATAGAGATAGATACAAAAAAATAAATAAGTATAAATGTAAAGAGTAACTTACCAATACCATGATGTTTGGCACGTTCTGTTAAAAAGTCTGGGTCATGAATACGTTGAGCACCAGATATGATTTCTTCGCCACGCATAAACATGTCATAAGAATTTGATGCTTTCTGTTATATACAAAAATATAATTATATTATTATTATTATTATTATTTTGTGATTTCATTATGGATAATATTATAAAGAAATAAATGTTAAAAATGTGATCACACGTACAGGATTATTCGGATCAGGCATAGTGTAGAATGGTCTTATTGCCAAAGGATATTTATCCAAAATATAAAAATCTGTGTCATACTAAAAAAAAGAAACATATTTTTTTGTTATAATAACGTTAAAAATATTGTTCAAAGATATTTATAAAAGGAGAATATAATTTACTTTAGCTTTTACTAATTTTCCCAATAATTTTTCATCTGGTGTTGACAAATCATCCTCCTCTCCTAATATTACACCTGCTTCTGCCAATAATTCAATTGCTTCGGAAAATTCTAATTTCAATGGTGGATCTAAGAATTTAAATGGTTCTACTGGATATTGTTGATGAACAGCTGCTATTTCATTGGCATAACTAAAAATTAATATTTATTAATTATCTCTTACAAAAATGTTGTATTATATTTGATATTTATTTTAAATTCAATACTAACTTGTCGCGTAAACCTTTGAATAATTCTGTAAACATTTGACCAATGGTATCAACAACTTCATGATAATGATATTTAAATGCCATTTCTAAATCAACACCAACAAATTCTGTCAAATGTCTATGAGTATTAGAATCCTCGGCTCTAAAAACTGTTCAAATTTGTTACTTTATTATTAATGATTTTTTACTTTACATGTAGATAATAATTATTATTTAAATTTTGTCATTATTATTTATACCTGCACCGATGGTAAAAACTTTATCAAAGTCTGCTGCTATTGCCATTTGTTTGTAAAGTTGCGGTGATTGAGCTAAATATGCATTTCCTTTAAAGTAAGATACAGTAAATACATTTGCACCACCTTCACTAGCAGCAGAAATAATTTTTGGTGTATGTATTTCAACAAAACCCTATAAAACAAAACACATTGATAGAGAGTAGTTACATTTCAATTGATTAACGTTTATATTGATGAAAGTAAAGAAATAATTACCTTGGCTGTTAAAATATCTCGAAAAAGTTTACATACTGCAGCTTCGACTCTAAATATAGCTTGATTAGCAGGAGTACGTAAATCCAAAATTCTATTATCCAATCTGGTATCTTGATTAACTTTTATATTCAATCCTGTATCATCAAATTCATTAACAACCCTAGCAGCATCCTCAATTTGAAGTGGTAATTGAGGTTTTGCTGCGCTTACTACAAAAATTCTTTGGATGTGTACTTCTACGTCTTTTTGTGTACATGATTCAATTACAGCGGGTACTGTTTTTACAATAGCTTCAACATCTATTATAGATTCCTTTGTTATACTATAAAACAGATATTATATCTATCATATTAAATAATTTGATAATTTTAATCAAAAACTTACTTTGATATAAATTTAATCATTTGTTTGCTAATTTGTTCATTAACCGCAGCTAATCCTTGTACAGTATAAGACTGTTGTCTTAATACAATGAAACATTGTTTGCCTAAAAGTTTATATTACAAAATATTATATATTTACATATATTAGGATAAAATCTATTTTATTAAAAAAAAAAAATATACCTTTAGCTCTACTTGTATGCAAGCGGCCTCTTAACCATATTGTTTGATTTTCTAATTGTTTATTTAATTCTTTCACATGAACAAAAATTCTTTCCTTATGCACTTCATTGCTTTGTATCATAGTTAATTGTCCATATTTGCCAACCGATACATCCTCTTGTTCTACTGCATCTTGTTGCGTTTGCTATTTAATAAGAAAAATGTATTTAATTATTTATTAAATTTAAATACAATCAACAATAAACAATAAACATTGATTTCATACTTACAACTTGAGCTTTACGTTCAGCTTTCTTTGCTGCTTTTTCAGCTTCCTTTTGTTGTTTCTTAAGAGCTTTCTTAGACAATTCTTCTCTGTATAATAAATAAATAATAAATAAAAATAATTTAAGTTAATAATAATAATAATAATGATGATGCAATCATATGAAAAATGTTAACATACCCAGCTGTAACTTCTGTTGGCTTATCTTCACCCATCTGTGTATAAATAACAATTAAAAGATATATTAAACCTGTAATAATTTCATTCTTACGAGATATTAAATTAACTATTTTCTCGATTAATCTTGAAGAATTCTTGTTATTCATAATAAGCCCCTTATCAGTTGAAATGATTTTTTTTCTTTTTTTTTTTTTTTAAGGTTAACTTTATGCATATAATTAAATATTTTTAAATGAATTTATTATATGAACCATATACGAACCTTGAATAATGAACCATTCAATTACAAATAATGAGAAGGAAAATGTTTATTTATATATTAAAAAACAGCAATGTGTATTATAAAAAATCAACAGATTTTTAAATACTATTTTTAATGGTGGTCAAAGGCAAATGACATATATATATATGACGTACTACTACTACTACACTAACGCCGCACAGTTATGCTATATATAACAAATTTATAAAATACATAGAGATACTACACATAGAACAGGCAAGCCAGTATAAAACTTGTCGGCGATATAAAAAGAGATAGAACATGAGAGGTTAATGTTATCTCTCTCTAACTTGCGCTGAGTGACGCATGCGCATTAGTCTGCTAGTAGAGGTTAGCAAGATTCGAACTCGTGCCGGTACTCGTGCCGTACTAAAATCAGCTACCTTAACCTCTACTAACAGACTAATGCGCATGCGCCGCTCGCGCAAGTTAGAGAGACAACACTAACCTTTCGTTTTTTGCTATATTCATGCAGAGACATTTCCACTTACATAACCGCCTATGGTTCGCCTACTCTATCTGTAATAACTCTATGGATAATAAAAACATTTTCTTTTATTATTATTTATTATATATGTATTTCTTTTTACATCATTTTAATAAAAATCCCCTCATTAATATTTTTATTAATTCAATTGAGTAAGAAATTAAATTTGGATTTATAGCAACAGCTGATACAAGCCATTTAACATTTACAATTGATTATGAGAGTTTTACACGTACCTAACATATATTCATCAAACTGATAAATTTATAAAGAAAAAGAACAAGATTCTAACAATTATAATTTCAAATACAAATTATCGCTTTTTAACGTTTACAGAAATTAATTTGTAATTATTACAATATTACTTACTTTTATTCTACATCGTGTTGTTTCAATAAATTATTATTTATTTCAAAATATTTGATTTTATTTTGATTCTAGTCTTTTTATTGTATTGATTCTATGTATAATAACAGTATATAAAATTATATAAACTACTAACGTGACACATATATTATATATAAAAGTTTGATTGATATTATTTGTTAGAAGCTCGCTGCGCAAACTCATAGAAATAGTTTATTCAATGTAAACAAATGTTACATTTAAGAAACAATCATTTTAGCACCATCTTCTGCAGAATCCAATACAATAGAAATGGAATCTTCAGGATTAGTTGTTGTAAGCTCGATGTAAGATTTATCTGCATTATTTACTGCTTGAGGACCAGATTTTAAGACATTAACCGCGTGCTGTGTTGATTCATTCCAACTGCTCCGGTTCAAGCGTTCGTTACCTGAAAACAGTTTACCTCGAGCTTTGCGAGCGAGCCTTTGTGCAATATGGGATAAAAAGGACATGAAGATTGTACAGAGAGAGAGAGAAAGAGAGAACAAGACGATAATGATTATCTTAAGTCTTATTGACAATATATGTATCTATGGTAAGAACAATAAGATACATGTGCTTTGTACTACATATATACATGTAATGTATAATATATTTATAAGCGGTATTAAAAATATCATGAAAAATAATGAAAAAAGTAAGCTCAACAGAATTTTGTTCCCATTTTACTTCTTACTTTTTAATTTATCCGATGAGTCATCGAATGAAGGATCTTGAATGTTCAGCATAAGACTGTTTCCACTAAGATACACTCTGTTTTGAGATTGGGCGATCTACAAATTATTTTTCATTTTATTAATATATATATATCAATTAAAATCTATCTTTTTTTAAATATTTATATATACAGTACAATCTCACTAATCCGGCACTATTAAAAACCAGAGGGTGCCGGATTATTGGATTATAGAGAAAAATAGTGATAAGTTTTGAGGTTAGATTACTAAACGACGACGCGGTGACGGAGCGCATATGAGTAAAAGGGCGAGGGTGGGGGTGCCGGATTATTGGACGTATCGGTTTATTGAAGTGCCGGATTAGTGAGATTATACTGTATATATTTATATTATGATTAATTATTTACCGTGCGAGCAATTCGTCGTGATGCACGAATCTTACGTAACTTCAAGTATCCTGGATTTTGGCTTAAAGCTAAACCAAGGTGCAATGGAGTTAAGGATCACTTTCATTAGAAATATAAAAATATTTGATTTGAAAATTAATCGTTGTAAAAGGATATCATTTTAGCTGCTTCTGCTTCTCCTTCCGCCTGTACAATTTTCTGTTGTCTTTCCTGTTTAGCGTGTTCTACTACAAATGCAGCCCTTTGTGCTTCCTGTTGGGCAACTTGTTTGGCTTCAACTGCAGCAGTATATTCTTTACCAAAACTTAATTCGGTTATTGATACATCATCCAACACAATATTAAAATCACGAGCACGTTCCGTCAATTCTTTACGTACTAAAATAGAAACTTGTTGTCTTTGTGTTATAAGCTGTGATGCATTGAATTTAGCGACAACTGATTTAAGCACTTCGTTGCATATACTTGGTAATACCTGTCAAAGTATTTCAAATTATTTAAATAAGATGTTTCATTATAGTATATAAATATTATAAATAATTGAATTGAATTAATGTTAAATCACCTTTTCATCATAATCAAGACCTAATTGACGGTACATAGTTGGTAACGCAGTTGCGTCAGGTCGTGACAGAACTCTAAGAGATATATTAACCATTTGTAAATCTTTAGATCCAGTTGGGGATGAAATTTTTCTTGGTTTACTTCTAATATCGTATATTATGGGATAGTGAAACCATGGAATACGGAAATGTAAACCTTCAGGAAATATATCTTTTTGGATACCATTGATACGAGAAAATATAATTGCTCTATGACCAGCTTCAACTGTAAAAAAAAAAAACAACAAAAGTATTATTTTAATAACTTGTTGTTTTTATTTTCCAGTATCTATAAAATAATCTATCGATAAATATTAATTAGTAAAATTTAAATGAAGTCACACCTGTGTACATAGATTTAGCTACTCCATAAGCTGTTACGCCGGCTGCAGCAAGAAGCTTGAATCCTAGTGATAAACTATTCGGACTTTTATTAAATCTTGACATAAAATCGTTTAATTTATTCTGCGTCATTTTATCGACAAATAATTATAAACTCGATGATTATTTAATTGAAATAACTTTACTACAATGACCGGCACATGAAAACAGGCTATCAAGTTAAGATGGAGTTACAAAATGGCGTTGGACATATAATCGAGAAGTAGAAAAAGATAAAAAAGGCACGCGTCGCGACATCTGGCGGAATAATTTAATAGTTAAATACCAATAATATCTGATGGTAATTTATTAAAGTGATATCTTGTCAAAATATTGTTAGAAGAAAATCTATTGTAATTCTTAAAATAATTATGTAATGTTTTTAAATTTATCTTATATATTTTACATTATGTGCAATAATCAAGAGTTTATAATATTTTTAATTATAATTTAATTTTATATGATTTTCTTTTTACAGTGTTCACATCAATTCAGCATCAAAATAACTTTGACAAAACAACTTATAAATATTTACATTGTAGACTCTTACAAATTATAATAAATTCTATGCAAATTTATAAAAAAAATATTTAATAGCTTGAAAATATATTTATCAATGTATCTATCAATAAGTTCAATTATATTCATATATATATATATATACTGTGGGAAAAATAAACATCACCCTTGAATCCAAATTTTGATGCTTTTATCCAATTTTCAAATAGAAATCATTTTCTGATATAGTCATTTTGAAATTACCCACCCGGTATAAGGGGTTTAAATTGGTTTCTCTCGGTGCAAAAATCAGACAATTATAAGCGGAGAGCATGATGATACAAGAGGTATTCGAAATACCGAATAGAAGTATTCGAGTATGGGCGGTTTCAAAACTAGAACGTTCATTGGTTGGTTATTAGCCTATAAGTTCTTAGTGGACGCCTACCATCCTAGGTATTGGTCAAATATTAAATAATTAATTTATATTACTTCCAGACATATATTATAAACATTTAAATACTTAAAATATTTAAAAAAATCTAAGGAATAGTTTAAAATTATAAAAGTTCATAAAATATGCTTGAAAATACATTATTTTCAAAATAATCGTTATGGCATACTTGTCATTTTTAAACATTTAATTTATTGAATTTTCAGACATAAATTATAAACATTTGGATACTTGGAATATTCTATAGACTCTATAAAATATTTTAAAATCATAAAAGTTCATAAAAAAATTTGTAATTATAGAGAAATCAATTATTTAAATGTTTATTAATTAAATGGTTAGATCCGTACAGTACTGCCATCTAGCGGTTAAATCAGCTTACTAGTGCCATCTAGTGGTTAGAAAGTTTACTAAGTTTTGATACCTCCTGTATCATCATGTGTTCCGCTTACATTTTCGGCCACTTAGTGACAAGACTGTTAGACATTTATACCGGGTGGGATATTTCAAACGGAGTACAAGAAAAACTCGATTTCTATTGATAATTGAAGAAATTCGAAATTTACTTGGTTTTTGAGAGTAACATTTAAATTGCTCACCCGGTATATATATATATACATAATAAGATGTATTTATTCATTCATATATTCGATCATAGTTAATCTAAGAAAATGTTACAATAAATTGTTGAAATTATTGCAACTTCGTTTTTTTTTTTTTTTTTTAATTTATAATGTAAAGTAACATTTTGTAATTATTGAAGAGACTGTACACAACATTGCAACAACAAGATGATTTTTTATTTTATATGTAGGCAGTATTTTTCATTTATCATGTTTTTTTTTGTTTTGTTTTTTTGAGTATTACATATATTATATGCAAATAATATGATTTAAGCAACAATTATATTACAGAAGATTTTTCAAGTATTTTTAAATGTATAATAATATTGTTGTTTCTTCTTCTTTTTTTTGTAAATATAATTTTCAGCTTGTTTTTATAATAAATACATGAAATCTACTATAAAATACATTATTGCTAATATCTCAGATATAGTTTGTAATTTTGAAGAAATACAGAATGTAGTTTTGAAAAGTTTTTCTACGTATAATTATAAAATACAAGTTACAAAATATAAAATACAGTAGTATAATAATAACTTTTGTAACAGATTGTATCATATATTTTTTAATTGATAATAATTGTCAAAAGTTTTCGAATAATTTGTCAATAAAAAAAATGTGTTTATTTGATTAAGAAAAAGGCATGGATAGTTAGATAAAAAATAATATTACAAAATTTGTCATTTTTGGTATTCACTATTAAATAGTTTAAAGATCACCCCCACACATTCACTTGTAAATCAATAAGAAAATATTATTTTATAAATACTTATAAATAAGTATGCTTATGGTACTCAGTAATAATTTTACATATATATATATATATATGTAAATTACGTGTCACGATGTTTGTCCGCAATGGACTCCTAAACTACTGAACCGATTTTAATCAAATTTTGCACACTGTGTGCAATATCATCCAACTTAAAAGATAGGATAGTTTATCTTATTTTAATATATATAAATTACGTGTTACATTGTTTGTCCGCAATGGACTCCTAAACTACTGAACCGATTTTAATCAAATTTTGCACACTGTGTGCAGTATCATTCAACTTGAAAGATAGGATGGTTTATATCTCAATTTATAATCGAATTATTTGTTTATTAACAAAGAAGAGTCATGATTATCTCTGTTAGTTCGATGAGATTCTAACAGATGGTGGTATAAGGTAATTTGTTGACTTAAAGAGACATGTGTATCGGACTGATTGTGAGCCACAGCTACGTGTGGCGGTGTACCTCTAGTATATATAGCAAAATCCATGTATAAAATCTACATTTTTGGTCAGAGATAAAATATAAAAGTTAAAATTCAGATAATACAAAATAAACCCCTTTGTAAGATAATTCTCATTGAGATTGAAATACTTAATAGATAACGAATGAATATTAAATATGTATAATAATGAATGAAATTATTCATTTGTAATATGTAAATTGTGCATCATGACAGACAGTCGTCAAAGAACGTGAGTACACTTATATCTTAAAAAAAAAAAAAAAAAAAAAAAAAAAATAAAATAAAATATAAAAATAACGTAGACAAGAAAAAAAAAAAAAGAAATGATGAAGATACAAAATGAGAACTTAAAAATTAATTACCCTAATAAAAATGTAATTCACAAATTCACACACTAGATTGTAAATCATCATCAAATAGTTAATACATCATTTTACAGACGTTCGCTTTCAGTTGCATTTTCAGTAGTCTCAGTCTGTAATTCTTTCATTGGTAATTCTGTTACATTTATTTGTTTCTCTTCTTCCGATATGTCAACAGGTTTAACATTACTCAAATCGTTCCACGGTTGTATTTGTGCAGATCCAAATATCCAGAACAAAATAGTTGCTGAGATAAATACACCAGCTGATATCCAAAACATAACACGCCATTCTTCTATTCCATTCTACCAAATGTAATCATCAAATATTAACAACAAAATTTCTCTCAAATATAAATAATATAATATATATTTTTGTGAAGAAGATTACTAATCAATTATTACATTACTTACTCTTTCATTAGTTAAAGCACCGATAATTGCTGGAATAATAAATCCAGGAAAGCTACCAAATGTATTCATAACACCGTATAAAGAACCAGCAAAGTTTGGTGCAAGATCTTGATGATTAACCAAATTAGTTTGACATGCGGCACCGTTGAAAGTCAATGCTAAGATTAACATAACAATTGCTGTTGTTGAGTCACATCCAGCATAAGTCATAACGAGTAAGGCAAGAGCTGGACCCACGTGTGCTAATAAATAAATAAAACATTATTATTAATTATTATTATTATTTTTTTTAAATAAATAAATAAACGTAAACAATGTAATATCAAATATGATACTCACAAGAGAGCATAAATATATTACGAATCCAACCTAATGTTAAAATATTTTTCCTTCTAATATAATCACCCAAAGCAGCGAACAATACTCCAGCACCTAATCTGGCTATGTAAGGTAAACCTGTAAGAAATCCACCCTGCAAAATAAAACATCATCATTAATAACAAAAAAAAAAGCAATACAAATTGCAATATCTGATTTAATTATATATATATATTTATATTAATTTTAAAAGCCAACCGATTTCATATTGAATCCAAGTACTTCCAAAGTATACTTTGGACCATTGGTTGCGATGAAATATATTCCCCACATGTTTGCAAAATGTGCCCATAATAAAACTAAGAATGGTATAGACGTGGCAACAGATTTAACGGGTAATGGATTCTTTTGTTTCGATATTGAAGTGCCTATTTGTTCTTTTATATGTGCTTTTTCTTTTGGAGTGATTCCTGGATGAACATCAGGTGTATCATAAATTAGATAGACCCAGAGTGCATAGAAAATTAACATAAGTCCACTGGTAACGTAATAAGCTGCTTTCCAACCAAATGCGCTGATCACTTGTCCGCATAATGAAAATGTTACAACCGTACCAAAAGGTCCACCTAAAAAAAAAACAAATACCATAAGATGTGTTATATTTGTATAATTTAATATTTCTAGTTTTATTATTATATATATATATAATTAAATGATTGAGATATAACCTTGCATTGTCCAAACAAACATTCCTTTCTCGCTAGGTGGTACCCATCTTGCTATCATCGCATGAAGAGCAGGATAAACAGCACCCTATAATAAAAATTTTAATTGGCTTATCATATATTATTAAGTGTTAGCTACTACAATTGATATGGTATATAGCAGGAGATAATATAAAGTGTTATGAGATTAAATAGAATACTTTTGAGAGTGTTTAATAAATACATTAAGTATTATACACATGGATAAGAAACGCATTATGATTAATCTTTAATCATTGTTTTATTAATTGTTAAGAAAACAAAAATAAAAAAAAAAAACAAACAAAAACTTACACCAAAAAATCCCATCATAAAACGAAGCACGAATACAAAGCCATAATGAATACTAGAAGCCCATGGCATCAGAAGATTTAATACTGCAGGAATTAACGTGGCGAATCTGATAATAAATAGTAATACGTGTAAAGTTTACAAAGTTAATCGATGTAATAATAATAATAATAATAATAATAATAATGTTAGAACTTACGCTACAACTTTAGAACCTCCATATTTTTCTGCTAAAAGTCCAGCCGGTACGCTAGCTGGCAAAACACCATAGAAATATCCAGATAGTAATAAACCTTGTATATGTTGATTCCATTCATAACGTTCACCATACTAAAATTCATAAATCATTTATATACAATGTAGTAAAATTGCTAGATATATAAAATTAAAAATGTAATATTAGTATAAAGGATATTACATCTTTCAGCTCGACAGTTTGATTACTTGTAAGAGAAGTTTCGATACAAACAGGACCACCTTTTCCAGTTTTACTTGTTGCATTTACCATAGCAACGATAGTAATCGACAAATTTGTGCGTATCACGTATGAAAACATACAAGCAAAAAACATCATAGCACCCAGTATACCTCTGCGAGGTATTTTTTCTGTTAAACATAAATATAACGTATGAATATTTTATATAATTTACAAAAGACAATTATTTAACAAACAAAAGTCAGCTATTTTTGATTATTTTGATAAAAAATGACATTAAATGTTCGTGTGATGTTTTTTTTTTTATTAAACGTTTAATTATAATTAATGAAATATATTTATTTTATTATTAAATATATCTTAATATATATATCAATTATGTGTCACGATGTTTGTCCGCAATGGACTCCTAAACAACTGAACCGATTTTAATCAAATTTTGCACACTGTGTGCAGTATCATTCAATTTGAAAGATAGGATAGTTTATATTTCAATTTATAATCGCAATATTATTTTATTGCGAATTATTTGTTTATTAATTAATTAGAGTCATGATTATCTCTGTTAGTTCGATAAGATTCTAACAGATGCCGGTGTAAAGTAATTCGTTGATAGAGACCCTATTGGAGGGACGCGCCATACATATTTCTAGGCTGAAAATTTTGGGGGACAGCTTCCGATGCAACACGCAGCCATGTTTATCTTTGGTATGTATAAATAACGACTGTGGTTAGTTATAAAGATATAATAATACCCAGGAATCCTAGCTGATTTATTAATATTGAAAATTAAAAACAAATTTGTACGAATGTTTAAAATAATTGTAAATATAATATATATCTAGTAGATAATTGTATTTATCAAAATTGTATAAATTCCTACAAGTTGTTTTGAAATTTCAAAATACTGTAATGCCTTTTATCAAATCAAACTTAATTGTATCTTTCTATTTGAATTTATAATAATTTTTTTGTCTAACCCTATTCTATTTTTAATATAAATTTTTTAATTATCATTAAATATGGTTCATTTGTTTTTTCTGTATTTGATGCAATACATTATTTCATAATTTTGTCAAACCAATTCACCACTCTACCCTCTACACTATTCACTAATACTATATACAACTTTTATACTATTTAAAATGTTTGATTAATTCGCGCGCAATCACGTGACTACACGAGTTCCTGTCCCCCAAAATTCTTTGACGCGTCCCTCCTACAGGGTCCCTAATTCGTTGACTTATATATATATATATATAATTATATATTAAAATAAAACAATAATATTAGTATTACAATGATACAGATATTAATATTACAGTGATATTAATATTTGCATTTCATTTTTGAATATATAAAATATTATTAATCCTAATCGTCAGCCTTGAATGTTTTAAAAACAAAACTAAACAACTTTGTTGATGATAACACACGCATCAGACGTTTATGTAACATGTATATTACTATGACATAATGTGTTAGTTGTTTTATCTTTTTTTTCTTTGACTAAATAAAAATGTCTACTTGTTGTTTTTTTTTCTTTTTTTCATTTTGTTTTTATCCGTTAACAAAAAAAAAAAAGAAAAAAATAATCAAAGGTTATGGTCTATTTTTATTAGATGACCTTGACTTAATACACAACATACATTTCTTCCAATCTATTTTTATTCAAACATTTGCATGTATATATATTCTTTAATCAAATAAATTCGATTTACAAATGATTTGGAATGTAAATTAAATGAAACTAAAAAAATAAAAAATAAAAAATACAATAAAATACAAATATAATTATAAATGACATTCTGATATGATGAAACTGCCATTGTCATTTATATTAAATTAATTGGTTGTTTATTAAAAAAAAAAAAAACAAATTTCATATATTTATGATAATACTTTTGAATTTCTAAACTTATTTTTATATTCAAACGGAAAGATATTAGAAACGTAGACTTGTGTTTCTATAAATAAAAACGTATTTACGTCAGATATCATTTTCATAAACAGAATGATAAAATATCATAAATATATTAATATCAGGATGAATAATGATTAATATTTCATTATTTATCTTATAACAAATTGTTTTTTGTTTTTAATATTAATTTATATCAAAAATTACTTACCATTGTATTTTCTAAAGAGAGTCATTTTTCTTTTTTGTTTTTGTTTGTAAGATGACAATAATTAATCAAATTTTCCTTAGTATGATTAAATTAATTTCACTTTTCAAAATCCTTTAATATTTCTTCGATCGATGAACGTTTCTTTTTCTTTTCTTTTTTTTTTATGAATTATCTGTAATGCATGATTGATTAATTAATTTATATTAATAAATGTGATTAATATTTAAATAGAATTACACAACATGTATAGAGTTAAAATGTGACACATTCCGGAAATACTACGTTACCAAATCTACTAATATTATTTAAAATACACATTAACTTTATTAATTAATTATTAATAAAAATAATATATTATTGTATATATAATTATTATAAAAGTCTTCTGGATATATAATTAGAAATGATATATGTATATATGCATAAACAAAAATGACGTGATAAATGTTTTTAGAATCGTACTCTCGTATCACGTAGTCTCAATCAAAAAAAAAAAGGCGCGGGTGTGCCCGCCATATTTGAAATCTATATTTACGCGGGAACATATTTTAAAATTTTCTCTCACGTTGCTCACGTATACGCAATGTTATTTTTATCGATTGATTTTATCCCAATGTTATAAAGAACATAATAAATTAATCTGAAACGTATAAATATATATTTATATATATATATATAATTCGTATATAAAAATTGAACATAAAATGAAACAAAGTTTATCCTTGAACTACGTATACAATAAATATTATTGAATATTTACATATATGTGTGTTAAAGCAAATAAAATCTTATATAATCTTTCCTCGTTGATTTCTTAAAATCATTATCATAACAAATACTAATACAATAAACTAACAGTAAAAGTTAGAACGTGATTATTTACATACACAAATTCTATTAACCACATTGGTCAATAATGAGAAAGAAAAATATATTTTCTGTTTACAAATTTTAATTGAATTTCGTAGAATCATATGAGAGTTCGTTAAAAAAAAAAAAAACGTAAGAAGAACGTAAAGAAAGAAAATGGAACAAGGATAAATAAAAATTAACTCTCAAGATTAAATGTATTGGTTTAAATCAATGACGAGTCATTGGTTTCATTTTGTTTTTTCTTTTTTTTTTTAAATACCTCGCGCTTGGAATTCGAAATAAAGATAAATGAATAAAAAAAAAAAACAACAAAAAAACAATGAAAAATAAACTACGTAACATTTCAATGAATTTGAAATTTTAACTATCGTTTTAAAATACACTTGATTATATCTATTATTTCTAATTGGTTATCATTAGCTTAATATCAAGTTTACAGATAACTATGGAATGACGTTACTGTTTAACTCATTGTTTCATATCACTCATTAGTATTGTTTAAATGTGGTATTATTATTATTATTATTTCTTGTTTTTTTTTTATAACATCCGACATATGTTTGCATGCATTTTCTGTTCGTTTAAATTGTTTCACATTACTAATCAAAGAAAAATGTACTTTTTAATTTGACAGTTACGTTTCAAGGTCACACGCAAACGTACAATATATTCTAAGAAAAGAAAATTAATAAATAAATAAATGAAAAATTGAAAAAAAAAAAAAAATACTTATATATTTTTTTAAATATTAAAAAAAAAAAGTGTATTTTAAAAAAATACGTTAATAAGTTTTACAATCATGTAATAACGCGATATTCTTGTTTAAATTTTATTTGTTTATTCGAAAGATTTATCTTAAGAAGTGATAAACGTAAATTAAACAAAATGAAAACTGAAATAAACCAAATATTTATTCATTGATTATAACGACATTAAAATGTAAACAAAGTTTTATTTATTATTATTATTATTATGATTTATAAATTAATCATTTTTGTTCCATTTTCTATTTTCTTAACTGCACTTAATGGTTAGAATGCACTTTGGGTTTATTCAAAGGTTAAAAGATACTTGAACTATTTTATTTCAAGAATTATCTGTGGAAACTTTCTTTAAATGTAACTAACAAAATGACACACATATATATATATATATGTTTACTATGATAAGTATGTTTGAATACACTCGTTTTATCTGTTGCAATATTTGTTAAGGTTACTATACGTCCTAATTCTAATTAAATCAGTTATTTCAGTATTCATGTGTAATATTTGAATAATGATAATTAATAATTGTAATTTATTTGAACTGATGTAATACACGTGAAATTTGAAATAATGTTATAACACTAGATATATGTATATATATATGCCACCATTTTCAGTATACCTATTGCTACCAGACTAGTCAAAATGACTGATGTATAAAAAGAAATGCTTTTGGAGACTTCCACCGTTTATTATTATTTTCTCTTAAGAAAATAAGAAAAAAAAATGTTTAACAATAATAATTTTAATCGACATTTTTAAATAACAAAACGCTTAATTATTTACAGAACTCAAATGATACACGAAGTAGAAATTTTGAATTAAAATGGCATGACCTGTCAAAATGACTAGTTAGGTATATCTAGTGTTAAAATACATAAGCAAAAAAAGAAATGAGAAACTATATATATATATATATATATATATGTATTTACATTACATTCTTATCTTATCAAAAAACATTTCGCAATATGCAATATACGCGTCTATATATTTAATTTGATTTTTTTTATTTATTAATTATTTCATGTATGAAATTATACGATTAATTATATCGATATTAATATTACGTGCAAATTAATGATCGATATTCGATATTTTATCGATTATCGAAAATACTTCGTAAAAATAATTTCAAACATTTATTGTATGACGCAATAATTGAAACAAAATATTACATAGATCATATTATGATCTATAAAAATCGTATATTTTTTTAATTATGATAAAAAAAAAAAAATAAACAATTCGATAATTATTACGAAAATGTGTATGAAATGATTAATAAAATAATATTTAATTTTGTAAATAAAAAAAAGAAGGTAGTGATCACATAACGCGCCAAAAGTGTCTACGTGACATTTCAATGCAATTTCAGCAGAAGCACATTAATTCAATTTTATTCGTTAAAAATCAACGATATTAAAGAGTAAAATAATTTTTATTAATAATTATATATTTTAAAGTATCAAATATATATATTAATATTATACGTATGCGTTAGTAAAAATATTAAAAATATATTAAACAAAAGGTATAACGTTGTAACGTAATTTGTACTCGTGTATGTGTCATTTCTAACATCTTTATACAGAATATATATGTGTGTATATATAAGTGACGTTATTACAATAAAATACACTGATACGAAGATAATTTGATATTAAATGCAATAAAAACTAACCTCTTCTTTTTTTTTTCTACACGTGCACACCTTTCATTCTTCTTCAGATTATTAAAATTAATTTAAAACTGTGAATAAACCTTTGCAATCAATATATTGTTCGATTCACTACTATTATTACTATGAAATTTCACTGCAATTGTTGTATTAATTTTTTCGTTGATTATTAAATGAACATTAGATTCTTCCTTTGTCGTCATTTGTTTTATCAATGCAATACATACAAAGAAATGCTTACACAACTGAACACACGTTGTTCAATGAATTCTTTTCACATTCTTCAAACAGTATGTACTAAAGGATCAAATGATTATCCATTTACAACGATGTCATGTTCCCGAATGCGTTCAAGCTTCTCTCTACCAAGCTTTTCTAAAAATTCTTTCCTTTTTTTTTTGTCCTCCTGTTGTATGCACTGTCACCTGTTGAACGATCAATGTATCGATGTACAGATGAAAACTGATGGAAACTTGCTACGTTATTATTGAGACGAATTTTTGTACTACATTATCGACTGCGGTTATAGAACTGTGTCGGTAACATTATCGACTGTGATTACAGAACCCTGTCGATAAAATTATCAACTAATCTAAATCTGTATTACCGACATTGATATATTCAATATAATTCAATTTATCAAATGCATATACAAATATTATAATTGATAATAAGATGAATTAAATTAATGAAAAAAAATATCTGAAAAAAAAAAGAAAAAGAAAAAGAAAAAAAATGATCTCACGAGTACGTTCGTCTATAATCAAGATAGAATCATCACAATTTTATTGTGCTGCAAGACATACAGTCAAATACAGAGATATATAATTAACACTATGAGAAAAAATCTTTGGGTATAACAAGTTTTCATTACAATAAAATATTATTTTTTTTTTTTTTTTTTTTATGTTTTTGCAAATTTTTTGTTTTAAATATCATATGTTTATAACAGTTCCAATCTGCGCTTGATAATTCTCAGATCAATCGTATTAATTAAGAGTACAATATATTCAATACTCTTTACAGAATAATATGTATGTGTGTATGTATAAAGAATGTTAAGTTAAATATATATATATATATATAATTATTATGTTAAACGTACAAAATAATCAATATGTTAGAATTATTATTATTAGAATATATTTTACATTTTTTTTTTTTTTTATATAATAGTGTTCATAATCGTGCAAACGAATATTTGCAATATATATATATATATATATTTTATTTAATAAGCAACATAAATACCTCTCTCTATTTATTTTTTGTAATACGAAAAAAAGAAGAAGAAAAATTAACTTGTTTTATAATACATATAAAACATTTTGCATATATATATAAAGAATGATAATACATACATATATATCCTGCATATAAACAGTAACATAAGTAAATATTCTTAAGCGTATGTGTAGATGTAATTAGAATTTGTAATATTTGTATATATATAAAAAGAAAAAAATAAAGTTTAAGAGCTTTCTCATAAAGCTCTATATATATATATATATGCATTTATATATCTGTTTTTGTTAATACCTTTGTCATAAGATTAGCTTATACATATACATATATATATATATATGTATAATCTTATAACAATAATATAACAAAAATTATATCATCTAATAATGAATAATAACACTAATTATAGAACAATTAAGTACAATATACAAATACAATTCACAATAGTAATTTGAATGATCAATAATA